GGATGGATGGACAGATGGATGGACAGATGGATGGATGGATGGACAGATGGATGGACGGATGGATGGACAGATGGATGGACAGATGGATGGATGGATGGACAGATGGATGGATGGATGGACAGATGGATGGATGGATGGACAGATGGATGGACAGATGGATGGATGGATGGACAGATGGATGGACAGATGGATGGACAGATGGATGGACGGATGGATGGATGGAGCAGGTGAAATGAAGCTGTTTTGACCAATAAATAAATGCGACTTATACGCCAGAAAATACGGTACTTTTTTCCATGTTGTTTAGTTTTAATTTTAAATGTTTAAATGTTTAAAATGTTTAAATGTTTGAAATGTTTAAATGTTTGAAATGTTTAAATGTTTAAAATGTTTAAATGTTTAAACGTTTAAATGTTCTGCTGTGAATAAAATACGAGGTCACGAGTTCTGTAAATCTCTGCGTTGTGTTTTATTTACAATTTCCACAACGTCCCAACTTTTGAGCGGTTGTTAAAAAGTACGAAGGACATTTTGTCGATTACTTTTTTTCAGCCGTTCCTTTAAAAGAAGTTTCTCTAACGTCCGGTCTGCTGCTGACACATCATCCTCAGATATTTCCTGTATCTAAATAATCATAGAATAAAAGTATTTAACGTCACTAATGATTGTTTGGATTGTGTACCGTGGAGTGCACGGTACATTTAAGACATCACTAATAAAATGTCCTGGTGTTCCAGCTGGAGTGCTCCTCCTCCCACCCCCTCCAGGGGTTCCAACTCTTTGCCCTGCAGGTTCCCCCCAAGCCCCCGGATCTTAGTAGAGCACGTGTCTCCTGAGGACGGCAGGTACTCCACACCGTCTCACGTTCTGCTCAGCCTTTTCCTCAACATTCATCTGGGAGCTTCTCCTGCAGCCCGGAGCTTCCGAAGCTTGTGCTCTGACTTCTTCGTGTTCGTGGTCTACGGTCGTGTCGTCACCTTCCGTTCTGCTGGACCTGCTTCTCTGCTGAGCACCTGACCTGACTTTGTCCGTGCGCATGAACTCCGCTGAGCTGTTCCTCCTATGTCTGTTTCTGCCTTTTTACTACTTCGAACTTGATCTCCGTGCAACCGTTGTTGAGAACATTCAAGAGATGATCGCTATGACCTTTGGAAAGCATTTGAAATATTAAACTTAATTTGGGCTCCGTTAAGATACATTTGGAAAATGTTCAGCAGCATGGATTGGGTCCAACACGACCTCTTCTGTCAACGTTTTAATGAAAGTTCTGCAGAGACTCCATCAAGCCGCCTTCAAAGGTCCAGTGATCTCAGAACTATAGCTTATCCCGTGCAGCATTACTGGAGTTATAGAAGTTCTGCAAATGAACCTGCTCCAGTGCAAACGCAGCCTCAGAGCATTAACAGAGATATGAGTCAGACTGGAATAAGTACTACTACTAAAGCTACTACTGCATAGTAATAGTACTTTTAATGGCTCACAGGTGTGGATGCTGTCCCTACATGATTCTTCTTTCTGCTTTCTAACATTTCTTATGGAAAGCTTTAAGCTTGTCCTCTAACATCATTACACGTCTCAAATTCAGCAGAGCTTTCTAATGAGGTCTGTTCTAAGCATCTTCAAGCAAACACGTAATTTCTTGCACAATTATTTTTTTATTTTTAAGAATTTTTCATTTTTTAATTTTTATTTTATTGATTCATTCCAGACATGTCAAAACTATTGTATAGGATGTATCAACATTAACACTAACATGAATCTATGTATCTATACATAAATATATATATATATATATATATATATATATATATATATATATATATATATATATATATATATATATATATACCTATACGTGCACATTTGAACATATAGAACCTCTTGTAAAATAAATGTATCAGTAAATGCGTCTGCTTTGACTGAGCTCACACAAATAAATACATCTGTAAAATAAGTATGTACCCAATGTGCACGCACCTATCTATATGTATACGTACTCGTATACATTCACACACATAAATCCCATTTAACATGTCTGAAAAGGGGTAGGAAGAAGTAAAACGTATTTGATCCTACCCCTTCTCCAATACTCCGCAGTTACACTTTACATTCGTTCGGTTTTCTGAATCTTACGAGTTTATGAGAGAAAGAAAAGAAAAACAACAAAAAAAACGTATGTACACATAAAATACTGCAGAAAGTACTGGTAATGTAATATTATACTCATGGTAAATTTTAGAGTTGTACATTCACATCCAGAGCCATTCACCTCCAACTATACACTAATACTCATAAACATTTACGCTCACGTACACCATGCACCCCGAGAGCACCCGGACCGCCACCAAGGGGCACCGAATGCACCAAGAGAACCCAAACCCAAACAACCACAGAAACCAGACCATTATAACCAAAATACATTTTTATATAGTTTGCTTTAAGCGTGTTGTTGTAGAACCGAAGGACTTCTTTCATAAAACATACAAGTAGCGTGTCAGTTTGAGCATGAGTTTAGCTTAGCTCCGCCCCCCACTATGATTCGTTTCACGTTTGTTTTCCTTCCTCTGTTTCCGTGGCGATTGTTTGCAGGAACAGCCTCGAGGGCGACGGGTAACTGGTTGTTTTCCCGTTGGCTCGCTTCGTTCTCTCGTTACGTTCACGACTTCGTTCTTCTGCGGCGTGAACGTGTTACGGTCCATACATGTCTGAGACGTGGAGTTCCTCCACCTTCACCAACAGGAAGTGGAACTCGTCAGATACAAACACCCCGTCTGGATCCAGGCGGTCTCTCACAGTTTATTTTGTTGTGTATGAGTATTGGCATTATTGATCATGGATTGGTTTTTGATATCATTGCCAGTTTTTCAGTTATTGGTATTATTGGCCCCCGATCAGTTGATGGCTTTATTGGCTGAGTATCAGTTATGGGTATAGTCGTCCGCATATCAATATTTTAGTATTGTTGGTTGTGTATTGATTATTGGTAGTTTTTAACTGTATATTGATTACTGATATTGGTCATGTATCAACTATTGTTATTGTTGACAGTGTGTCAATTATTCGCATTATTGGTTGTGTATTGATTATTGGTATTGTTGTCAATGTATTCTTTATTGGAATGGTTTGTTGTTTATCAACTGTTTGTATTATCTGTTGTGTATTGATTATTTGTATCATTGGCATTCTATTGATTATTTGTATTGTTGGTTGTGTATAAGTTATTGGTATTGTTGACCACATATCAACGATTAGTATTGTTAGTCATATATAAACTATTGGCATTGTTGGTTGTGTATCAGTTAATGGTATCATTGGCAATGCATTCATTATTGGAATGGTTGATCAAATATTGGTTTTATTGGTTGTGTATTGCTTATTTGTATCATTGGCATTCTATTGGTTATTGGTATTGTTTGTTTACAAGTTATTGGTATTGTTGGCCACATATCAACGATAAGTCATATATAAACTATTGGCATTGTTGGTTGTGTATCGATTATTGGTATTATTGGCAATGTATTCATTATTGGAATGGTTTGTTGTTTATCAAAGATTGGTATTATGGTCGTGTACTGCTTATTTGTATCATTGGCATAGTATTGATTATTGGTATTGTTGGTCAAGTATCAGCAATTGGCATTGTTGTTGAATATTGATTTTTGATGTTCTTTGTACAACAAATATTGGTATGACTGGCTGTAAATAGATAGATTCTCAGTATTGTTGGCCATGTATTGTGTATTGATTATTGGTATTGTTAGCCATAGTTTGGCTCTGTATGGTGAATGGACTGTACTTATAAAGCTCCTTTCTATCTGATCAAGACACTCAAAGCTCTTTACAACACAATCTGTGCCTCATTCTCTACTAGATCTTTACAAAGAAAATTCGTACTGAGGTCTTCTATGGTTTCCACTTTACTGAGCAAGTTGGTCTCATCTTCGTTTTTACCGGAATGTGGACAGTTTACCGTCTGCAGACGAGTTAAACTGTCTGGATCTCACAGTCAGTCAGAACTGATTTTGAACGGAACCAAAAATAAGTTTGGTTACTCTTTTTTTTTTTAACCTCCACTGATGTCTGATGATCTCTGAGGAAATGAGCAGAATACAAACTGTCGTCATGAACTTTAGCTGTTATTGTAAACCCAGAGCACCCAGTCTAACACCCTGTGGTATTTTTACTTAGATGTTTTTTTTTTTGTCTGTAAACAAATTTACAGCTTTATGTATTTTTTTTATTTGCTAACAGCAGTCGCATCCAGCCCACTTCTATTTTGAGGGGCAGTAGAAGGAGCCGGGGCCCCCTGAGGCCCTTTGCCCAGACTGGACTATCAGGGTCCTGTCCCAACTCGCCACGACCGGACAGGTGCACGCTGTTACTTGTGCCCCGCCCCCTGTCCTGACCCCGCCTCAGTGTGTCTTCCTCTATTTCCTCTCCTGATTCTTGACCTTTGCTGCAGCTCCTTTCTGCAATTTGTTTACAAACGGCTCATATTCGGCTCGCGGTGACTAAATGTTTTTATAAATTTTGTGATTTTTATTTTTTTTCTCAGAGCACGTCCACACGGCGACCCCTCCCCGCCGCCGTCAGGTCGAAGGGGTCGACAGCTGCCGCAGCTTCCTGCGAAGAGCAGCAGCATCGAGCAAGGTGGGTTTTCACCTGTGGAGCCGAAGGTTTTCTGTATTTAAGACGAATTCAAACAACAACAGCTGAAGTTTGTATCCGTCACCAGAAAACCTGTTTACAAACAATCAGAAGCTCTGGTAGAAAAAGTTATTAAAAGACACATTTTTTCAATTCAATTTATTTATAAAGCACCAAGTCACAACAGAAGTCGTCTCAGAGCTGAACAGAAACATTTATTATATAAAAATAATAATTTAACATTTTAACACCTGTTGCTTTGAAAGGTGGGCAGCAGTGTAATTACCTTTGTGTTCCTTCAGTTGTCTGTCTGTTAGCAAAATATCCCATGAACAGCTGGACAGGGTTTAATAAAAACTCCCATTAACATTAATAATCACTAAACTGCTGCCATAGATCTTAGCAAACAAAAAAAAAGGCTAAAACTGAGCTGAAACTCGGCATGGTAGAAGCTGAGATTCATCCCTAACACACATTCTGAGCTCTAACAGAGGAGGGACAGTGGTTTGGACATGTCCAGAGGAGGGACAGTGGTTTGGACATGTCCTGAGGAGGGACAGTGGGTCTATTGGTAGAAGGATGTTAGAAATGCAGCTGCCAGGAAAAAGACAAAGAGGAGATATATGGATGCAGTTAGAGAGGACGTGGAGGTAGTTGGAGTGAGGACAGAGTGAGGACAGAGGACAGTGTGAGGACAGAGGACAGTGTGAGGACAGAGGACGATGACTTGCTGTGGAGACCCCTGAAGAAGGAACAGCTGAAAGAGGAAGAAGTGAAACATTTAAAACTGACAAACTGTTTTCTGTGAAAATCAGTGCAAACTGGATTTTACTGAAGAAGCTGAAAGTTTTTAAAGTTAAGCTAAGAGTAGCTAAAACCAAAAATTAACACAAAACTAGCTAAAAGCTCAACTTTGCTAAATTGTAGCTAAATGCAAAAAGTATTTAAATGGCTAAAACCTCAAAATTAGCAAAACTGTAGAAAAACCTAAAATTATTAAACATGTGGTCAAAAGCTAAAATTTGAAAAATAGTAGCTAAAAAATAAAATATGCACAACTGTAGCTTCAAGATAAATATAGCACTTTTGTAGCTATTAGCTAGAATTAGCATCAAAGTAGCTAAAAACTTGAATTAGCTACGTTGTAGCTGAACACTGAAAGTAGTCAAATGGTAGTTAAAAGCTAAACATGGCAGAACAGTAGCTAAAACTATAAAGTATTGAAACAGAAGCTAAACACTTAAAATTCCAAGTCATTAGCTAAAAGCTAAAACTAGCTTAACTGTTAAAAATCAGATTTTTTACGAAAAAGTACCTAAAAGTTTAACACTTGATAAAAGCCACATTCAACAAAACAGTAGCTAAATGCTAAAGGTAGCAACAAAAAGGCAGCTAAAAATAAAAGTAGCAAAAGAAAGTATGAGATGGAGGCAAATCCTGAAGAGGGATCAGCCGAAAGAAGAAGACCTAAGTAATAAATTGTCTTTGGTGCTCAGAGCAGTTACGCACATGTCCAACCTGTCCTTCAGGAGCGAAGGTTTGCTCTGAGAAGCTTCAACTGTTGACGTTTGACGTGACGTTTTCTTCTCTGCAGAACTCTGAATGAGCAGAAATGAGCTGCTCTCGGCTCCACGTCATGGTAGAGACCAGGTCCTCGTCCAAACGGAGCAGATCATTCTGTCTCGTGTTGGACTTGATGAGTTTTTGTCTTTCTGTCTCAGCCTTGGCGGCGGACGATCGAGCCCGACAGCTGCCCGTGAAAGTCCACCCCTGCCGGCCTTCAGCCTCCCACGATCCTCAGACGGACCTGAAGACCAAGCGGGAGGTCAGACCCTCTCTTCTTCTTCTTCTTGTTTTTTTTTTAGTTTGGTCTGTCCAGGTTTTGACGTCCGTCCGTGTCTCCGTCTGCAGATGTTTGCGGAGCAGAGGCGCAGCAGCGACAACACGTCGGCCCGGTCTTCGGACAGCGACATGAGCGACGTGTCGGCTCTGTCCCGCGCCAGCAGCGCCTCTCGTCTCAGCAGCACCAGCTACATGTCCGTCCAGTCGGAGCGGCCCGGGGGACGGCTCAGGTCGGTCCTCTCCGGTGGACGTCCTCCATCGTCTCCTGCATTCTGCTCTTATCGTTGCATGCTAATCCGTGTGTGTTTCTTCCTGCATGCTGCACGCCGTGCACGTAAACACAAACAAACAAACCCAGGTCCAAGTCTTTAGAGGAGGACAAGAAGGACAGGAGGATCTCATGGGGGATGAACGGCGAGGAGGAGAGGAGGAGGGTAGCGGAGAAGAGACGCTTCTCTGATGAGTTGAAGCGCAGGAGACACACTGTAGCCGGAGACACGAGGGAGTCCAGGTAACCCTCAAGGTCCAAAACCTGTCCCTCCGTCCCCCGCAGTTCAGAACCGAGACAACAGCAGAGGCGTTTGATGGAAAGACGGCCGTTATCGACCTCAGAGGGAAAAACACTTTTCAAGCGCAGAACGACATTTTGTTCTTTAAAACATAAAACTTGAACCACAAAGCAGCTTTACACAAAAAACAAGAAGTTCTCCGGAGTCCAGAGTGAAAAGACGTCTTTCCGTCTCGTGAATCCCTTTTATCTCCGAGTCCTGACCTTCATGGAGCTCCTGATGTGAACTTCTTCAGAATGTTCTGTAAAACATGATGAGAGGGTCAGAAAAACATCTAGGAGCTGGGGGGTGTGTGTAAATAACACTAATCATTTTGTCCCATCGAAGGCTTTCAGGCTCCGAGTGGACCAGGATGTTGTTGACCCGTCAGTGAAGGTCGTTTCACCAAATTAGAAAGAAAAATCCCTCAAAGTCACAGAAAATACATGAATTTTAAATTCTAGACTCAACTCTGAGGGATTTTTACCAGAGAACCCCTCAGCCACGCTCTGAAAATCACAGCTGATTTTCGTGGAGCTCTGTTCTTGGCTGCGCACATTATTTTGTTTCTCCGCCTATGTTGTACCCGCCTTGTCAGCTGCGGTCGCAGAAGCAGGACGTCGTTAGTGGCTGACAGCCGTTAGCTTCAGCCGAAGCAGGACGTCGTTAGCGGCTGACAGCCGTTAGCTTCAGTCGAAGCAGGACGTCGTTAGCGG